TGTGCATTAATGAGGGTGCAGTCTGCTCTAGAGATGTTGAGTGTGCTGTGTAGTTGTACAGGTTCATCGGTGCTACATGAGGACAGTAAAGAGAGAAACAGTGAAGGTGAGGAGGAGGAGGAGATAATGAACAACAGACAGAAGAACAGGAGACACTTCAGAGACATAACCTGTGTGGATCACAGCTGAGTACATGAGAAGGACTCAGCAGTGGAGAGATACAGCATTACAGATACAGATACAGACTTTAACATCTTGTATAGATACTCAATACAAACTCAAAGTCCTCACCTGTTTCTCAGTCCTTCCTGCTGCAGCTGAGACAGTATCATGGCCTCTGTGTTCATCCATTGCACAGAGATAACAAACACACTTCTCATCAGTACGGCAGTAGACCTCCAGCAGTTTGTCATGAGTGGAGCAGATCTTCTCCTGCAGTTGTCCTGTGGCATCAGCTAGCTTGTGTCTCTTCAATGGAACAGCTTCATAGTGAGGCTGGAGGTGAGTCTGACAGTAGGAGGCCAGACACACCAGACAGGATTTCACAGCTCCCCTCTTTCTCCCAGTGCAGACATCACATAGCACGTCTCCAGGGCCAGCAGGACTGTGAGCAGGGGAAGGACCACTGCACCCTGTCTCCTTCAATTTCTCTACCACTTCAGCCAGGATGGTGTTTCTGCCAAGATCAGGCCTTGCGGTGAAGGTCTGTCTGCACTGGGGGCAGCTGTAGATCCCAGTCTGATCTTCCTGATCCCAGTGGTTCTTAATACAGCTCAAACAGTAACTGTGTCCACAGAGCAGAGTCACTGGATCCTTCAGCAAATAAAGACACACTGAGCAGCTGAACTGGTCCTGAGAAACTGAAATACTGCCTTCTGCCATTATTCTGACAAATAAAAACTGCACAGAGAGGAGCAGTAGAGACAGAGCTGCAGTGAGTCTGTTTCTAGTGAAACGAAACTAATCCCTGAGCCACTTCCTTGATCTGAGCTGCAGGGTTGTGGTTGTTAGGGGGTGTGATTAGGGTTGTTAGAGGGTGTGGTTTAGAGCTTCAGTTATAAACCAGCTGCAATTTCATTTCTTTGGTGGTTATTGTTTGGGGAAGGTTTGGTGTTGTAGAAGAGGTGACTTACAGTGTTATTTTGGGCTGACAAAAACTTGGAGCATAATGGTGACAAACAAGAGGAGGCCAGCTGGCCCATCCAGCTGTTTAATCGTTGGGAGTTATTTAGCTCCAGGATCATCTCCAGCTGTGTTTTGACAAAGGGGTGTCACAGTCACAGCTCCACATGGTGCAGAGGATTTCACTGTCCAGGTGTGAACTCTTACTGCGAGCAGTCCAGCCTGTTGTGTCTCTCTCTCCAGGCCAGTGAGCCCAGCCTGCTGCCTGGCTCTGCCCTGCAGCGTGTGGGCCAGCAGGGTACGTCCAGGGCTTCGTGCTTCACCTGCGCAGTGACCCCCTCTGTGAGCCGCTGCAGAGAATCACGAGCCCATCTCTCCCCTGAGAGACACTAGAGGAGCAGATGGACAGGGCAGTGTCATGTGGGTGTGACTGTGATCTCCATCCACCCAGTGTAACAGCGAGCCCCTGATCTCTGTGTGCAGCAGCTCGCAGTATTTCTTCCTAATACAGTAAAGGTTGTGCGGTGCATTGCGGTATGCAGTTTGCTGGCCAAAGATGATCGATAAGTGGCACTTGTGGAGCATTAGATGTTAGTGAAACGACTGCTTCATTGAATCTGTATCTCTACTGTGCATGGTTAAATCCACTTCATATGGAATATTAATATGGAATTGTACAACTAAAGGGAAATTTTGGTGGATGAACATAAGAAAGTATAACATAATATATACCTAATGTAATGCAAATTTCAGCAACAAGTGATCAGGAAACAATTTAACTTTACATTTTTATAATAGTGTATTTCACACATACTGCACTGTAGTAGCTTTAAAAGCCATACAGTCTCATACGTAATACATACCTCCTGTACATACAGTAGATGGTAGCAGTAGCTCAATATAAAAAAATACAAATTATACACAGTATTCCACCGTCTTCATAAATATTTTATGCATCAAATTTACTCTGTAACTTGCGGTGTTTATTTTGGGAAAGTGTTGATGTGCTTGTTCTAACTATATAAAGTTTATATACTTCATAAAAAGATCCTGGTCAGAGCAATCCTTTTGGCTGTAATTTCTACATTGTCTATATTTTGTCTTAATTCAAATTTCAGCAATGAGAAATCAGCAATTAACTTCAATTTATGATTATGAAAAATATTTCACATATACTGTACTGTAGTGGCTTTAAAACCATACAGTATCATGCTGTATTACAGTTATATATATATAACTTACATACAATCTCACTGTCGTTCATTGCCGTGTGCGCTAACGTTTCGGTATATCTGTGTATCTTATTTCAGGGGATTGGCGTGTGTGGAACAGCTGGAGATGAAGTTTGTGTTATTCTGCTTTATATGTTCAGCTGTTTCGCAAACATACAGTAGCTTTTTGAATAGTAATCGTCTCGTTATAAACTCACTTACAGGTGGATCTGCTTTATTCAAACTGAGGTTTCTAAAAATGCAACCAGGTACTAGATGATGTTTAAATAACAGTTGCAAAAAGTTTCACAAATCGCAATATTTAAAATGCCTGCAGTTTGAAGGCTCTGTGTTATTTGGTTGAAAGTTATTGACATCTGATACATTGTGTCTAATAAACAGACGTTTCAATAAGAAAGTGAAGGTTATGAAAACTGGAGAAAGAAAATGACTCTGAACAAAATACAAAAAAGTTTGAAATTATTATTTGTAATCAATAAATTAATATTGTTAATAATGATCAAATACATTATTATAGTTCAGTTTCAGTGGTCTTTTTAATACCACTTTGTTGTTCTCTATTATAATTATGATATATACAATAAATATTATAATTTATTGGAGAAATGGAGAAAGAAAATGACCCTGAACAAAATACAAGAAGTTTGAAATTATTTGTAATCAATAAATTAATATTGTTAATAATGATCAGTTTCAGTGGTCTTTTTTAATACCACTTCATTGTTCTCTATTATAATTATAATACATACAATTTCATTTTATGGCTTGTTGTAAAGACTTGTGTTAAATTGCCCCACTGGGGTTAATAATGTATTTTGATTGAATTTAACCAGTTGAACTGGTTTTAGCTCCCACTGTTAACAGTATTCACACTTGCTTATTCATGTTTTTAATAATATCATTTAACATTGAACATGCTGTGATATTTAAAAATAATAAAAAGTCAATACAGTATACAAAATATTTACTATTTACTTTTTTTAAAAAGGAGTCATTTGTTAAGAAAACTTGTGCCCTGTGTGGGAATAAACACAGATCTTCAGGGTCTAAGAGACATTAACCAATCCCACAGTACCAACACACCACTCAGAAACATACCTGAAATGGATAGATCAAAATGTTTCCAAAGTATTCACGAGTGAATGTCTCAGATTGATTTCCAAAGAAAGTGGACTACAGTAATACTACCAGTTATATAAATAGATTAAATGATTTTGAAGGAAAGGGTTAAGAGCACACTGTAGCTCTTAGCTGTCTGGGCAAAGAAACTGCCTGAGGATTAACAGGAGCGTTAGATAAGGCTATGTGGCACTGAAATTTCGCCAGACTTAAAAATGGAAACCCACTGAAGCTCAGCAGGTGTGGCCAGTACCTGGATGGGAGACTCTTGGGAAAAACTAAGGATGCTGCTGGAAGAGGTGTTAGTGGGGCCAGAACGGGGTGCTCACCCTATGGTCCATGTGGGTCCTAATGCCCCAGTATAGTGACGGGGACACTATACTGTAAACTGGCGATGTCCTCCGGATGAGATATAAAACCGAGGTCCTGACTCTCTGTGCTCATTAAAAATCCCAGGGCGTTTCTCGAAAGGAGTAGGGATGTAACCCCAGTGTCCTGGCCAAATTTCCCATTGCCCTTACCAATCATGGCCTCCTAATAACCCCCATTTATGAATCGGCTTCATTACTCTGGTCTCCTCCCCACTGATAGCTGATGTGTGGTGAGCGTTCTGGCGCACTATGGCTGCCGTTGCATCATCCAGGTGGGGCTGCACACTGGTGGTGGTGGAGGGGATCCCCATTACCTGTAAAGCGCTTTGAGTGGAGTGTCCAGAAAAGCGCTATATAAGCGTAAGCAATTATTATTAATTATTATTATTAACACCTCACAGGCCAGACCCATCCTTCCCCTGCAGAAGAAAAAAGAAAAAAGAAACAGACTTTCCACAGGAAAAGCCTCCTAAAATGCCGCCAGACCTATTTAACACGAAAAGCCAGCGGGTGTCCGAATGAAACCCAAACACAATAAAAACAAAACCCCCAATACTGTGACTTGGCGGAGCTCAGGCGAAGACACACACGTTCCCTTCGGTTAATTGTGTGATTGACGCGCAAGACGCAGGGCCGGACAGGAACGGGGCCTCGAAACCAAACGACGCAAACAAGAACGACGACCCTCAAACTAACAAGCCCTTTCGCCCGCAGCGGAAGGCGAGGCCGAGGCCAAAGGCGGAGCCACCAGAAAAAAAGGGGGGGCCCCTCTTGCTATTGTAATGTTTCAGGGTTCACATGGGCACCCTTGCTGCTGCTGCATCAGGTCAGCCCCCCACCATCAGGGACTCAAACCCAGGCCTCCGGCATCACTCAACATCTCCCTTCAGCCCAGCGGCTGCAGCCCCTGCTATCACAGGGAAGGGCGGTGACGTCACCGCCCTGGTAAGCCGGCTCTTACACACTCACTGGTGGCCGTAAGCGTTTCACTATATTAACAGGACAGCGGTTTTCGGAGAACCAGGGGGCAAAATGAAATTCCTCCTGATCTGTGAGTACCACGTGTTGCCTCTCCCTCGCCGCTGCCTTTGTAACTAACTGTGCCGCGGCGTATTTATCCCATTCCGCCTTGGGTCGAATACAGGGGTAGACTCAGTGCCATTTGGGGGGAGGGGGGGAAGGTTTGGTCGGCGTTTATTTGGAGAAAATAACCCACCGTCTCAGAGAACCGACTGACTCCCGGCTTTTTCCCCCCTCTCACAGTCCAAAGACATGCTGGTGGATAATGTTGGCTTCCCCCAGTGGTGTGAGTGTGTGTGTACAGTATGTGTGCCTGCCCAGCGACGGACTGGCGTCCCGTCCCGGGTGTACCCTCTCTTTGCGATATTTGCTCGCTGGGAGAGACTCCAGCTCCCCCCCGTGTACCGTGTCCCGTGTCCTGGAGAAGACCGTTGGAAATGTGCTGGTCGGAAAGCAGACACTTCAACTCTGTCGCGGAAAACACCGCGCTGTAAAATCACGCAGGGGGTTATAATGGTTCGTTACTGACGCTTGAACGGAGTAGAGAGACTGTCGGCGACGAAAGACCCCGATTCTTAGTTTGGAGTTAAATTCTGTGTCTGTCCTACAGAGCACTGCTTTAATAAGTACTGTTTTTTTTTTTTTGGAGAGCAAAAAAACTCAGTCTTCTGATTTGAAAACAAAAGGATCTCTCGGATAAATTTCATGCATTTCGCAGATATTTGTTTTAATTCCATTTGGGGTCTTAAAGTCTGGCTTTCACGCCACATAACGGCGTTTTTTTTCCCTTCCTTCTCCACCTCAGAGAGTACATACCCGCGGATTTCAATATCAGGGCTCAGCCGTGCTTGGGGGGGGCATTTCGATGTTTTTAAGGCTGTAAGCGAAGGACCCGACCGAGGAGCCGGACTCTGCGGTCGGACCGGGGTTGTGTTCGGACCCCCGGTTGCTAGGAGACGAACCCCTGCGCGAGAGGTCCGGAGCCGCCAGAGGTCCTGTCCCCGGAACCGGGTTGAAGAGCCCAATATGCGTACAGAGGCTTTTAGAACGGTTATTAAAACTTTTCTGAGTGGGGAACCTTCAGGGACTCGCCTTCTAACCCGTTTTCGTTCGGAACAGGTGGCGCATAATTTGATGAACTGCGACAAAACGCCTCTTTTTCTCCTTTTTTTTGGTGGTGGTGGTGGGGGGAGATTCGCTAAAATATCATTAAACCACGTAAATACCACGCACGACTTTAATATTTGCCTGCGAAACCTACTGCGCCCGCACCGGTGCTCTCGCCTCCGCCGCTCCGACTAATACAATAATTATATAAATAATAATAAATACCATCTTTCTTTAAAGGGGTTTATTTGTAGCCACCTAGATAGCGACCTCACCAATCTTGTGTTTAGAAATTTTTTATTTCCTGATATAATCAACACATCTAGTCTGTAATAGCCGCCGAATCCTGGATAATAAACAGGTTATTGGCTTGGTTTTTCATGTCTGTAAAACAACTCTCCTGGGCCAGTAACTGTTTAGCTCATTGTTTCAGACTATGACCTGCAGTACATTCCCGAGTATCCATCGTTTGATAAGAGGACAGGGCGTTTTTTATTAACACAGACCTCGACCAACATCGGCGGCCGTCACAGTGTTCGGCTTCCTTTTCGAAGTTTCTCGACACTCGCCCAACCCGTCACATTAACGGGCAGCGAGGTGGCGTCGGTAAAATAGAGCAGGGGTCCCCCCAACTCGAGTTCTGGGGACCCCCCTACACACACACCCGCTGTTTTTAATTCCACCCGAGCCCCTCAATTAAATAACTGAAATCAGATCTCACTGGACCCGCATGATAGGGGTTCATTCCGAGCTCGTTGTTTTCAGTTCAACGCCAGGTAGGAGGTCGTGTTTTTTCGCTGCTTTAAGAAGCAAAATCTCATACCTCTGAGTGGAAGAAAAGAAGCTTGCAAAGGTTCCAACCTTTGATGTTTTCAAAGCCGGTACCCTGGCTTCTCTCCAGCCACAGCTGGGTGAGCTCCTGCAGTCAGGACAGGAGGCTCTACTGTACACAGAGTGTGGTGGGGTTGTGGAACAAGCTGCCCAGCCCTGTTGTTGAAGCTGATACCCCGTCTCCCCTCCAGACACAGCTGGATGAGGTCCTCCACTCAGCACAGGAGGCTCTTCTGTACACAGACGGGGGTGGGAGGGGGAACAAGCTGCCCAGCCCTGTGGTTGAAGCCGATACCCTGGCTTCTCTCCAGTCACAGCTGGGTGAGATTCAATTAATCGTTTGAGACCTGAGCTGTGCCCCTTTGCCCCGGGGGTACCCGCCACCACACTCTCCTGGAGTGTTCTGTTTTGTTTTTTTAAACGCGGGATTTGCTCACGATTTGCTCCTTTACAATCTGTTTCCCCGTCTACTCCCCCCCAACCAGGCGCTGCCCTCGCACAGCTGCCAGGAGCTCCTCGCGGTCCGCCCGGGCGCCGCCCAGTGCAACGCGAAGCCCCCCCGGGATGATGACTCCCGCCTCTCCGCCCTGCCTGACTCGCTGCTGCGCTCCGTCGGCCTGCGGATTGAGAATGTCACTCGTCTTCCCAGGTGGGAGATCTGGGGGGGCTCAGCGAGGTTGGACCTGGCCAGTCAGTGTGCTGGCGTGCCAGTTAATCAGTGTGTCTGTGTGCCAGTTAATCAATCAGTGTGCCAGTCAGTCAATCAGTGTGCCAGTCAGTCAGTGCACTAGTCAGTCAGTCAATCTGTCCAAAGTGCTGTCTCTCACAGGGATACATCAGTAAAGGCTGACTCACCCCTCACCCTGTCTTGCCGCTCTGTTACAGGTTCGGGTGTCGAACCCGGGGCCTTCCCACTGTGCTTTGTCCTCCAGGGCTGCACAGCTGTGACGCTGGCTGTGATCAGCTCCTGCTGCACCTACTGCCTCTCCCACTGATCAGGTCAGAGCACCTCTCGATCAGACCGGAGTACTGTGCCCACGTTCTGAAATAGATATTGTTCTTCATTCTTAAAGGAAAGAACTATACAGTACTGCCAGGCTGGAGATACTGAGTCTTTTTAGTCTGAAGGGAGTGTCTCACACTGACAGGCTAGAGAAACCGAGTATCTTTAGTATGAAGGGAGTGTCCCACACTGACAGGCTGGAGGAACTGAGTCTCTTTAGTCTGAATGTGATCCACCGATCGGGACAGGAGAGCCTTCCCTTCCTCCACCTCCTGTCCCTGTAGGACATTCTCCGGAGCTCAGTCAGTACACTAAAAGCAGGCTTCTCATCATGATGCTTCTTCATTTCTGTCCCTCCATCCGTCTTTGTGGTCTGGACACCGAAGAGCCGCAGGAAACCGGTGGAGCACAAGGGACGGGAACAGTCTCGACGATGACCCCGTAACCACACGCAAATAAAACAACTGCCGATATTTGGCCTGGTCAGACCAGCAGTGAAATCCAAGACGTACTGTAGGAGTCTGTAAGACAGCTTCACTCAAGATACACTTCCTCACAGTATACAGACACACTAAAGACCAGAGATTCAACACACACACACACACATACACACACACACTGAGACTCAGCTTGAGTGAGGCTGGAGTCAGATGAGCTGTTAATAAACTTGCTTTCATTTCAAAACACCTTCTTATGAACCAGGACACATACTAAACTCACATTATGCACACCTGGTAATCTAACAGTTTACACGGAACTAAGACCCGAGATTATACACACACAGATACAAAGGATAACTAACTGTTATTCTACACAGAGCTTGTCTTCTTTGTCAGTATGCAGACAGAACAAGACAGCAGATTCCACACACACACACTAACCCACAACTTCAGCTCCAACCAGAACACAAGCTCAGACATGTGGGAGGAAACCGTGACTCATTCTGGCTCAGCGAAGACAAGCTCTGCGTAGAATAAGCCTGGGCGTGTTATCCTCTGTGAGTGTGTGAGTGTTTGTGTGTGTGTAATCTTGTGTCCTTGCGCTGCGTGCAAACTGTTAGATTACTATGTGTGCTGGTCCATAAGTAAGTGTATCTGCTGTGTCTCTCTCACACACACACACACTGACAGTGTCTCACACACACACTGACAGTGTCTCTCTCTCACACACACACACTGACAGTGAGATTCCTGTGGGTGCTGGTATACAGGAAGGTGGAGGGGTATCTGAGAAAAAGTATGTTTCTCAACAGCTCATCTGACTCCAGCCTCACAAAAGCTGAGTCTCAGTGTGTGTGTGTGTTGAATCTCTGGTCTTTAGTGTGTCTTTACACTGAGAGTTTACTCTATGTGCTGGTCCATAAGTGTGTTTTTTAATGAAAGTTTATTAACAGCTCATCTGACTCCAGCTGAGTCTCAGTGTGTCTGTGTGTGGAACCTCAGCTGTCCTTGCTCTGTGTGCGTGCTGTGAGTTTCCTGGAGGCGTGTACAAGAAGAGACAAGATCAAGAGCTCTTGAGCTGAGCTCAGCACACCTCTGTGTGTGTGTGTCTGTCTCTCTGCGAGCAGGAAGAAGACACCACAGTGCTCTATTCCTCTATTCACCTCAGCTCCCACCCCAGCAGAGACCGCCCAGCATCAGAGCAGAGGCCACCACCTATCCCCTGATAGCTCACTGGTGCTGACGGCGACAGACCCAGGGATCTGCGCTCGGCTTGCCTGCCCCGGGGGTAAGAGCCGCAGACTGGGTGACCCACAACCCCTCAAAAATACAGCAGCAGCAGCATGAAAACCGCCGCGTGCGTGAACAGCTTGTGAGGCCGGAGATATTACAGTCCAGTGTCCCCGTCACTTTACTGGGGCATGAGGACCCACACAGAGCGCAGGGTGAGCACCCCCTGCTGGCCCCACTAACACCAGTCCATCACAGACACAGACTCACATCAGAGCCCGTTCTGGACTGTCTTCTTTGTCGGTAACTGGACCACCTGGAGGAAACTCATGCCAACACAGAGAGAACATGCAGACTCCGCACAGACAGCCCTTTGAGTCTCTCTCACACACACACACACACACACACACACACACACAGCGGGACCAATTTTCCCAGCCATTGCTTAATTCAGACTTTTTCCAATTTTTCTAAATTGTCCATGTGTACAGCCGAGGGCTGTACAGGCCTGGTAACAGTCCGCGTCTACGCAGC